TTCCTCAGTTGCAAAAACACATGAAAGTAAAACTTGTAAAATCATCCAGAAAATAAGAGTATAAAATAAGTGTTTCAAAAATATAACTTCGGTAAAAGATACGATGTTCTTCACTTTTGTGACTCCACTTGCTGAGACACAGTTGACTGACTTACTAACATATAGTGAATGACACAAAGTATTAACTTGAATGGAGTAATTTTCTTTGAAATACACAACACTCACAGTAGATGTACAAAGATGTGGTGTCAATTCATGTGATAGGAAACTGTGTGATGAAAATGTCAAGCTCAAAGTTGGGAAAGAAAAACAAGTGCTCATTTCTATGATGTCAGTGTGGAGAATTATAGCAACCAGTATAAGTAGAAAGATTCAAATTTTTAACAGTAATATCGGTTAAGTCTGCGCTTCTATGTGGTTGACAGAAGGCTTCGTGTGCTTTTCGAAGTGTGTGGGCGGTTGTTACTTCCCGGCTGCCCACACCGTGGAAGTTCCTTGATTCTTCGGGCACCTGGAACAGAGAAAGAGTTAGTGTTACGTGACCACAGAGCCCAAGGAACAGCTGCTTGAGGCCGGCCACACACAGCTTGTATGAACTAGTTTCTTGGTTTGGTTCCGTATCAGTAAACTTACCGCCTGTTACGGACCACCGTAGGGTAAGTCGGGATGTACAGTTGTTGGGGACGACCTTTTCTAACACCCTCCATCCAGAGTGGACAGACAGCATGGCTGGCTGGTATGCTGGTCATCTGAGGGAAACACCTCACTTTTGTTACACCTCTGTTCAACAGCAGTACGACTTCGCCCACAGACCCCTAGTATAGTGTAAGGAAGATTCTTACACTAAGCCGGTAACTGCTTTTAGTCTTATCGCTATCCTAACAACCTTCCTGGCATGGTAGGACCTGAAGAAACATTGGTTCCAGCAAGTGTAGCTTGTTGGGTCATCGCTATTTGCAAGCCCGACCACCACGTCAAGGTCTGTCTGTTTTCGACATAGAACTTTGCACATATGTGCGCCAGTTCAAGTCGCCACACTCCACTCCTTGTAGCACGCGAAGCAAGAGAAGAAAGTACAAGAAAAGCATAATAGAAACAGTGAGCAGAGGTGTGAGACAAGAAAGAGTAATAACGAAGAACAACACAATTTCATTAGAAATCATAAGTCACAGGGAGTGGATGCATCTGCGCCACTGAGAACGATTTTAAGCCATGTCACCAATTGTTTCCAACCGTTTGTTTTTACCGTCCCGAGGACCCCAACCAGGAAGTCGACACCTTCCTACGTGGCTTAGACCAACTGTTGTGGATTTCATTGACTGGTGGCAAGTTTTTGTTTGACCGCCGCTAGCTTTTTTCCAGCCTGACCCTATATCCGCTAACATTGCTCGTCGAGGGAGGAGATGGCTTGGCATACGTAACACATGTCCTAACCATCTCAGTCGATGTAGCTTCACGACTTCGTCGATTGATTTCCCCTGTTTACCTAGAACTCTACGCCTAACCTCCATGTTGCTCACCTTATTATGCCACTTTACACGGGAAATAGAACGCAGGCACCTATGATCAAAGACAGCTAGTCTTTTCATGTCTTCCACTCTCAGTGGCCAGGTCTCACAACTGGCCATAAAGGAGGACGGAGCGGACTGATGAGCAGTACACCCGCCCTTTGGTCGATAGTCGAACATCTCGTCTACGCCAGAGTCGGCGTAAACTAACAAATGCGAAACGAGCCCCTTGTATTCGTGCTGAGATTTCGTCAGAGATCAACCCGTTGGCACTGGCTGATGGTACTTCCCAAATAAGTGAAGCGGTCAACATGCTCTACCACTTCACTTCCTATTTTTAAACTAGGCGTCGATGTAGTCCAGTCCTGTAACATCATCTTGCATTTGGCGAGAGCGAATCGCATGCCAAACATCCGTAGATTGCGGCTCAAGGTGTTTAGAAGACTCTGCATTTCGTCAGCGTCTTCGCCTAGAAGGACTATATCGTCTGCATATTCCAAGTCAACGAGATTATTCCCCGGTAGCAAGTCAATCCCTGAGTCGCTGAAGTCACCTAGGGTTAAGTCCATTAACACATCTATGATGAAGTTGAATAGAAAAGGAGATAATGGGCACCCTTGACGGACACCACTGGTCGTCATCAGTTCAGATGACAGCTCTCCGTAAGCCCTCACCTGGCTGTATGAGTACGAGTAGAGTGCCTTAATCAGTGCAATGTATTTTCTCGGGATTCCCTTTACAGCCAAGCATCTCCAGAGAACTTCCCGATCGACAGAGTCGAATGCTGCCTTTAGGTCAAGAAATATAATGACTGTTGGACGCCGGTAGGAATGCCTATGTTCTAGAATCTGTCGGAGGGTGAAGATATGATCAATACACCCTCTTCCTGGTCTAAAGCCTGCCTGGCTCTCTCGTGTTTGTGCTGCCCGAGCACCACGTCAAGGTAGCAGCTATCGGACAGGGGTTGAGAAACTTGGTGTGCAAGTTACTAAAATCACTTCCGAGAGGCTACTCCACACTTATATCAACACCTACTCCTCTCCATACTGAAGATTATATCAGACGGACACTGAAAAAGAGGATCAGGAGCTAGGAACTCTAGCAAAGAGCCAATCAACACTTGATTGCTTGATCAATGAATATATAATGGGAAGTGGAAATGGATTCAAGATACTCTGAGGACGCCTTCAAATAGTATTACACACCAAGCCACAGGACGCACCGCTAATTTCAAAACGATTGGCTGGGTATGGTATCGAGGGTGATATAAAGAAATTATCGTACAGACGTAAAGCCAAGTGAAAAAGACGGAAGAGAACAGAGGGTAACGGACAAATTATAATAATATTATGAATGTTAGGCTGTCTAAAACGAATTTTCCTTTCAGTTGGAGAATTTAAGACGGTTGGAAACTCTTCACCTTTTGACTTTTAAGCTCTTATCAGAAGAACTTTTTAAAAAGAGCTCATTATTCCTTTTTTTTTCTTTTCAATACTCATTCTATTGTGTCATTCACTGGATGAGCATCCCTTTCACATCAACTATTCATACTAATTCGATAAAAATGATATCATCCGTACGGCGGTAGCTAGAAGTGATATCCGCCACAGGCGTTTCGTCCTATTCGGGACTCGTCAACTGAGTATGCTTGAATTCTCAGTAAGGGATGGTTCTCTCACTCAGTTTTGTACCCAGAACACATCACTTAAAATGCCGAAGCTTTATCCACCACCTCTATTTTGTTGATGAGTTTCAGAAAGGAATACGCGCCTGCTGGATCTCATCGCTAGCTACCACTTATTAAGTAACATCACGTCAATTTAAAGACATCATCAAAGTGTCCGTACTACGAGATGGACCGAGGAGGATTTAGATCCAATTTAATTAAAACTAACTTCAAAAATTGCATAACTATATTTATTTGAAGATAGACTATTTATTGATGAATACCTGAGGGTAAAATCAACAGTAGAAATGAAGTATAACAATTGTTGAAATAATTCTCACATGCCACAACTATTTAGACACAAAATTCACTTGTGGTAACCTTTACGCGATACCGACACACACACACACACACACAGTAATAAGTTAAGACAAATCAGTATCACAAAAACAATGTAGGTGGGTGGGTAGCAAAACAATGCAACTTGTAGAAAATTTCAACTGACGCAAAAAAAACACGACATGAAATGGAATTCCGATAGATCTGTACTGCCTTATGTATGTTTTAAGCTATGAACAATACATGTGACCAAGATCCAAAGAATAATGTTGTTTAGCAATGAATTCCAAGATGAACATTTATCCTACCTTAAAGTTACCCGTCAGATGTACAGGTATCCCAATGAATGCAGTAATGTTTCTACTGAAAAAATGTAGAACCCAAAACTTACTCTTTCCAACGTTATACTTATCATACAAATGAGGTGATATGAGTATAACTTATTTTTAATGTAAACTCAAGCACATCTAGCTGGTCTAACTGCAGTTAACCATAACCTTTCACTACTCCATATGCAGCCGAAAACCAGCAACTGACTTTTAGATGATGGGACCTGAGTTTGAATACGTCCCTACAACAAATGCCTGTTTCACAGGCTAGTGGTACATGACAAATCTTTTCCAGACAAGACTGATATCGAAATTCCCACCAGAGAATTTAAAAAATTTAATTCGAGGTAACTCATTGAGTAAAAACAAATAGTTAAGCCTGTCATGTGCTAGACAAAACCAACAACAATAACAATGATCTTAGTATTAGAAAATTACTGAATATAAGCTTGATACTAAAAGGTAAAATATAACAATGTATATCTAAACGCAACATTATAATTAACAGTACAAATTAATTCAATAATAGCAGTATACTCCCCAATAAAGTTACTTAAAAGACGCAGAATATGATAAAAAGAAATTAATTCACAGGTCTAATTACGAGATGACATCAGTTACAGGACCACTGGAAAACCAGTATGTGCTAGACAGCAGTTTCATCCTAGTTTAGGACTGTTCCGCGGTTCACACCTACCGAGGCTCAAAACCAGGACCTTCCGGTTACAAAGCGAGCTCGTATAACGTTCAGACACTAAGACCAGATTCGATCGCTTCTTATTAATTCCAACCTGTGCCAATTCGCGATATACACAGCTGGACAATCGGCCAATAGCACAGACGAGTAACTGATTTCTTACCTGATCTGGTGGACTCAGAGGGTTCCCGCTATATAGATCACGAATCACCATAGGCTGGAATTCGTGCGTAGCGGTTGGATCCGGTCCCAGTGGTTGAATGGTCTACGAGCTCGCCTCGCAACCAGAAGGTCCTAAGTTCGAGCCCCGGTGGTGTGAATTGCTGAAAAGTTTCAAACTAGGACAAAACAGTTGTCCTGTACTCCAAGGTTTTTCAATGGTTCTCTAACCGTTGTCAACTCATGATCAAACCTGGAGCCAATCCAATCCTTGCAAAACAACACCTTGAAAATTAATTTACCTCATGTAATGGATAAGCAGCTAAGAATACTCCATCTGAAATTAATTTAGTAATGCCTAAATTTTTCGCAGCTGTTGCTGAAGATGAAGTCATTTGTTGTTGATTTTTTGGATCGACGCATTCATCATGTTCAGAATTCACCAGAATATCGCCTAAATTTTTTTTGAATTGTTAATGTGAATAAAAGAAAGAACAAAAATTGAAAATTTATTCAGGAGAAAAAGGGTGAATTGCGTCACCAGACGGGAAGAAAAATCATGGGAAACCGAAAAATAAAGCAAATAGCTGTTTCGTCCCAATTTGTATTTGTAATAAAAATCGATCAGTTAAATCACCACCATCTCTCCCTCTGAAAATAAACACCATGGTAAATTAAGAAACTGAATAAGCCTTTCCTGCACACAGAGTTCGGAGTTATGTTGACGAATCGCCAATACCTCCGCCATACACAAGTCGCAAAGCCTAGCATCCCAGTATGACTTTAATTCACCGTATGCTAATGAAATGAGCTATTAATTGATAACCATGACGCATTGTGTTCGGAGATGCGTTCGGATAATACACCCAGCTCAACAGAAGCAAGTCAATTTATCTACACCGTACATGAATGCTAAATTTAAAATTGTGAACGCCATCATAACTCTAAAAAGCCACACATCGTTAAGAAAAGCGTGTTTTCCTCTGAGTCACGTATCAATAGCCTCAGTTAGCAAATGATAAGTGGATCTGTGAAGGATAAACTATCGCTCTAGACCAATTCAATGAACATTATTAAATTCACTTGCTTCAGTGGAACTAGTTTTACTGGTCTCACAAAGCGTACATTCTACAAACGCATCTCATAACACCATACACACTAAAGTTATCAGAAGGATACTGTCGGCATCTGATGAATTTGGGTCGCTAAGTCCCACTGGAGTCCTCAACAAAATGAAACTGAATAGTACAAGGAGTGTTAGGTTTCGAAATTTGTGTCTAGTGGACGCGATAGCGATTTATTAACTCAACTACCCCAAAACTCTATGTGCAGAAAACGTTCTTCTTAGTTCCTTATTCTACGGTGGTATTCAATTTCTTCCTATTTATTTATTACTGTTTTCAGTGAGTAGCTCAATATCGTCGCTCTTAAATGCAAAAAAAATAAAAAAGACCAACAGTTCTATCGTAGTTCAAAAGTTTAAACCTTCAACTTTCAGTACATTATGCCGGATACCACTAAATAGTATGAGTTGCTGAATACTTGTTTTACCGGCCAGTAGTAATGTAACAACAGAAGACAAGGGCCAGGCAACAGTGTGTTAATTAAGGAAATCAACACATTTATAGATTCTCATGTACATTATTATAGATTATTTTAAGGAAACAAACGCAGTCTTCTGATTGTTTGTTTCTCGCCGAACATTAATCTTTCATCTGTTTGTGGCGGTTTCTTGAAGTTCAGATTATCTATCTGCAAATTGTATCCGCCCACGCAAAGTCTGCTGTGATTGGTTGTCGAATCAGTCTCTGATCTTATTTTTCTCATGACCAATATTGGGGACATAAACATTGATGTAAATTACTGTCCACCAACTTTGGCTAACAGCCAGCTCTCACCACGCTAGTCCCACCGTCAAAGACTTGCGACTGAAGTTGGTTCTAGGGACTTTGCTCGTTCGTTTTGCTGTCTGGAATCTCAGCACTCGCTGATGTTCACCTGTTTCCCTTTGTTTACCATTGTGATTGTGTCTGCGTAACCCCATCTCAAAGTGACCATATGTGATCCTTCCCACTTTGGAAACTGTTTGCCTGACCCTGTCACACATTTGTCAGTATTTCGCCTCACACTTTCATTTGCTGCTTTCTCCCAACCTCCCAGCAGCGTCCCGAAAAACAGCCTCATCGCTGACAGATCTTGAATGCCACTCAACTACGCACAAGCCTCGAAGTCCTGCTCGAAGATCCGTATGTCTCCATCAAAAACTGCACGGCATAGTCTTTCCATTTGTCGGTAAGCAGCGACACCAAATGTAACAACAGATCCTTAAGCATACAAAGTTTATCTCTAAATAAGCCAGCTGGTTTAAATGCTACCTTAATTCACACTTTAATAAGAATCTTGTGTACGGTGGTAAAATAGTCAACCGACTCACCTCGTAACCTGAAAGTTCTGAATTTGAACCCTATAGGGTCATAGGTGCATACTACTGAAAACTCGCAGACTATAACGAAACAGTCGCTCAGTATTCCCTGGTTTTCTATAGTTGTCTAACTGTCATATGTCAGTTCGTGATCTAACTTAAAAGCAATTAGACCTTGGAAAGGCAAACAATGATTATTATAATCAAACAAATGAAATGATTTGTACTCGTTAGAGTTGAATCAACATGTGAGCGCGCCTGTCATTCTATACTTGTTATCTAAATAAATTCACTTTTTATCTGACAATTTAGTCTGCTTTAAAAAAAAACAACGAAAATAAACACAACACATTTGTTTGTGGTGAGAGCGGGCTGTTAGCCAATTGGTAGACATTAGTTTACGTCAATGTCTAGGTCACTAATATTGGCCTTGAAAAAATATGAACAAGGCTGATTCAACAACCAATTACAGCAGACTTAACATGGGCAAATAAGATTCGCAAATATATGGCTTAACTTTCCGAGAAACCAGAAACAACCAATCAAGAGACTGTGTTGGTCTGCTTGAATAAGCTATAATAATGTACATGAAATATATATAAATACGTGCTGATTTCCGTAATTAAACGATCTGTTGCCGGCCCTTGTCTTCTGTTGTTACATGTTTACAAATATTTTCAGATAGATATGAACAAAGATACAACTCACTAGAAAAATAATAATAGTAATACTAACAAAAATTAGACGAACTTAATAGAGTAGAATAAAACTTACTGGCACTAGGCTCATATAAGTCATCTGTGTTGACTAAATCTTCTGCTTTATAACCAGTACGACGAAGAATATAATCTAAGACAAGCGCCCGTTCGACTGGAGTGAAAAATTCATCCTTATTCTCTGGTATATCGAATCTATTACAGGATACAAAACAAGAATAGAAAGACCATAGATGCATGCACACATAGATTCTGATGCGGAGAGTAATATATATATATATATATATATATATATATATATATATAGTCTTGAATTTACAGGCTATTTATTGGAGGTAACGCTTATTAACTGAAGTTGGATTGATGAACCAGCTGAGTTAATAAGTGTCTGTTTTGATATGCTAACCTGATTATTGGAAAGATTCTTGTTGCTCAGCTAGCAGAGTACTCTTCATGTAGTTCAGCGGCTGCTAGTTCGAATCAGTCTTTTCAAAACGTGTACAAGTGATAGCAAATTACTTGTTGTTTAAGTAGTTAAGACCAAAACACCAAAGTTTAGCTACAAATATGACATTTCATTATGGGTAAATTTTTGTTTTGGTAAAGTCTCACAGTGTTATACAGTAATGTTTACTGATGACGTTTCGAGCACAATTTATTGCCTCTCATAATCATATCAAGGTACTCACATGACTTTCTAACTTCATTTATATAGTTCCATTATTTTTCACTTGATTTTCACTTGATTTGATTGGCAGTAGTACTCTGAAGGATGAGTCAGTTAAGATGCTGTGACAGGTATTCAATTCTGACGCTCTTGACTGAACTGGTGCCTCCCCTTTGCAGCCGTGCTGGGCAGTGATCTCTAACGCGTTCTGATAGGACCCGCATAGAACGACCTATTTACTTAGATCCGCACGAGCAGGTGAACTGATAAATACACATTGAAGTGATCATATGCGGAAGTCGATCCTTCACATTGCCCTGGAGAAGTAGGCACCTAGAGAATATCACTCTCAGAGTTGCTGCAAGAAAGGATATCCGCTGCTAAGTCTCCCCTGAATTCCAGAAACGTCATCAGTAAACATTACTGTATAACACTGTGAGACTTTATCAAAACAAAAATTTACCCATAATTGAATTATACTCCACCACAATGCACAAGTTTTATTCTTATATCAAGAATATGACATTTGCCGAGATTCGAACTAACGTCAGAGTCGATAAAACATAATATTTATTCAATGAATATGTGTACTGTACAGAGAATCCACTTGTCTTGATCTACGCTACCGAGATTCATTAACCATAGGAGTCTTCCTTCTATTGATAGATAGTATAGACGTCAGAGCTAGAGATAGGTAAGAAAAGTGAGTCTGTCGCTAAGTCAGAGAAGCCTAACCAACGAAAGTAACTGAAAAGGGATAGATGTATGCTAAGTCACCGTTAAACTCGAAGAGTGATGTTAGCCGACGCGAAAGAACATCAGAAAAGATTTGACATGACACCAAACTATGTAAGTTAAAAATCAGTCAAAATGAGACAAATGTATTCTATCTTTTTAAATCGTGAAAAATACCCATCGGGACACTAGAGGGAAAAGAACAAGAAGTTCAGCAACGATAACCATCTTTCCGGCGATTTCATTCTCAAAATCTGTACAATCGCATTTATATACATAAGTTTACATAGATACAACTATCATTTGTCAAATTCCGCACAGTAACGAAGGAGACTGAGGGTCATAATCATTTTCAACTTGATATGAAAGTTTAAAGGTGTGAATATAGATTATAAGGGAGACAAGATTACGTAGGAATAGAAAATAGCTTTTTTAACGATTAAAGATGTGAAGGGAATTAAAAAACGGGACCGAAGGAAACGAACCGAACTATATCCATGGTAAATGTAAGGGTTTAACCAGTTTCTTCTGAACAGACGGCTCCGGTTTTCCGAGGCATATGGCGAGGGCTTCTGCAGTACAAAGAAGTCGGAAACACAACATCTTTGGTAGATTTTTGTTTACTTTGTAAATGACTTTGAATGATGAGTCAGTTTCGATGCTGTGACAGTTGTTGACGAAGTGTTCAATTATTGCGCTCTTGAATGAACCAATGCCTCCTCTTTGCGGCCATGCAGGGTAGAATTCTCTAACACGTTTTGATAGGAACCGCATAGAACGACCTATGTACCTAGCTCCGCACGACCATATGGACTGATACATGCACATTGAAGCGGTGATATTCGGAAGTCTCCGGAGCAGTGGGCGGCCAGAGAATATCACTCTTAGATTTGCTGCAGGAAGAGTCTTCTTTAGAGAACTGGAGATTTTCCTTTTAAGGATACCTGCTGCTAGGTATACCCTGAATTCCAGATTCAAATAGTGTTTTCTCTTTAGCACTGAAGCGTAATCTACTCATTTCCTGAACTTGATTTCATATTCTTCTCCACGAAACGCGCTGGATATTTATCTTTAGCCAGGATGTTTTTGAGGAATAGAAGCTCTTCTTCATCTCAGCGAATTCTTCTGGTACTCTGGGCCAGCTAGATGTAATCTATATTCACACCCTTAAACTTTCATATCAAGTTGAAAATGATCTTATAATGACCTTCAATCACCTTAGTCACTATGCGAAACTAGATAAATAATAGTTTTATCTCTTTAAACTTATGTATATAAATGTGTTTGTACAGCTTTTGAGAATGAAATAGCCGAAAAGATATCTTCGCTGAACTTCTTATTCTTATTCTATATTTGTCATCTTCAAAATTCTAACTATCGGCACTAATCTCCAAAGATAAATATATCGTAAGCCAACACGGACTGAACAGTTTATCAACTTCCAGAGCTTTTTACCACTGATCGAAAAGCGAAACCTGGCACGTACATTATGTTCAAGGATTAGCAAAATCTACTCGGAAGACATGATAGAAAAAGAATTAAACTTATTACGTGAAACCCTACTAGAGAACGGGTATCCACCAAGATTCACAGAGAAGAACATGAAGGAGAAGCCTCCGTTTTCAAACATAGCAACAGTTCCTAAGAAGCTCTCTTCATGAACCTAGAATTCAAAGGTGACATCGCTGCGGAAATTCTCAAAAACTGCCTTTCTTAATGTCTGAAAAAGACACTGCCAACAAACACCCTACGTATCACATTCTTCTTCAGACAGTTAATCCAGTCTAACGCTAAGGATAAGATACCGCTTTTGGTCACTTCAATGTGTATTTATGAATTTACTTCCTCGTTTGGAGCAAAGTATATTGGCCGTACGCAACGTCAAGTCCACAAACGTATTCCGGAACACTGTCCAGCTTCGTTAGCCAGAGGAGAAAAGCAACAGCTCTATCCTTGAACACTTTATCATCTCCGGACATCCAGCAACCCCATATGAATGCCTCACAATGATACACAGAGTCCCTCAATATCCTACAAAGGGACTTCGGATACGCCATCTGTACATATCTGAAGCACTAGCTGTGAGAAATCTGAAACCGGACCTCTAAATTCAAAAGTGATACATACATTCTCTCGCCCTACTGTGGCCAGAGTAAAGTTCTTACTACAATTTTGCTTCTTTATTTGATTATGTAAGTTCACTATTATTATTATTAATACTATTACTTTATTATTATTATTCCCATCATCCACATTTTATTACCACTCTATTACTGTTTGTTAATAACATAGCTCTTTCATACAGATTTTATATAAAAAAACACTTTATCGCTTTTCCACTAGTTCCTGTCCATTCTACACGAGCTTATTGATTATTCATTATCTCACACTTATTGCGTCACGCCAACTTACAATTAGTCATCTCCTCTTACACCTTACATTATGTAATCCAATTTTTCAAGGACAAAGTTTACCAGTACCTGATTGGTCTCAAGATTTCTTTGTTTAATATAATTACGACGGTACATCTCATGAAAATGAATCATCGAAAAGAAAATTTTCTTCGCTGTTTGTGCCATTTTCTTATAATCTTCAATTAATGAGTGCGTCTTCTCTGAAACTCTTTTTTATCCATTCTAGTAACACACCTTTTGTGTTCTGTTTCTTTTAATGCGGTGTCTCGAAGAGTTTATTCCCGTACAAAGTGTGTCAGCCAATTAAACAGTATTTTGAGGAAACGAGTTTTGAATAAAAAGATGTATACTGTATATATATAATAGTCAGAATGAAACGTAATGGTAATCCAGTATAGTGTAGTTATAGACTTGACCAGGTATTCTTAGGGGATATTAGCAACCTGTCATGTTAGTCTTCACAGTCTGTTTCTTTAGCAGGTACAAATACCTACATAGTCTTGTCAAGTGATCAGACTGGTCTTTTGCTATAGACGAGGTTGACTGTCTACCGCCTGTGTCTATCGAGATCTCAGGATTCAACTGTTTTTTCAAGCAATTTCGATATATATATTCTCCTACTCTCACGAGCAAAGCATGATTACTCCCCGTATGTATACGTGACCGCAAGCCCATGTAAACTGGTACATAGTATCAGAAGTGAGATAATCAATTGTGTAATACTAAGGCTTGTGGCAGGGGGATTTATAATTATCGAGAAACCCAGAAGCATGCTGCTCCACCACACGTTTCAACATTGCAGAAGTCGCACTTCATATTTTATGCCAGTTAACATACGTGTGTGTATAGAAAGACATACATAAGGAGGAGTAATTACGCCCTACACGTAAGGGTGGGGGGAAATATACCTAAATACCTTTAAACTGAATTAAAAAAAGGTCCACTTCTTCTGTATGTGTTAAAACAATTTTGGTAAGTGTTAAGTATTATTATCCTTCTTATTCTTAAACATACACATTATTTTGTTTATTGTAATCAGCCTTACATTTCTCGCTTAAATAAATTTGACAAGTAAATATGTGATCAGAGTGTTCGAAATGCACTGAGCAAGTATATCAGACTACACTTTTCACATAAACTCCTTCTTCTAACAACGTCTAGTATGCGAACTTAGTAATGGGGCTAATTATTTGTTCAAGTTATATTTGTACTTCCAGCTGATCATCTTTATATTGAATCGAAATGCTCATCCTCTGGTAATATGACGGCTCTTAGAACCCAAGCAGCTTCGACAATGTCTAACAGTTACTGTGAAGTTATTTTGGTTGGTAGTGATTAGTGATGGCGTATTTTATCTTATTTGACAATTGCCAGTTGAA